GCATCAGATGCTGTGATATCACATCGAATGGACCTTCAGATCAATGAATATAAGGATCAGATATCTGTTCAATTCAATCACCAATTGTCTGAAAAGACTCACAAATAATCGTTTGACTGACTAAAGACCCACAGCCTGTAAAAATCACATCAATATCATTGGATGGACGAAATCTATAGACAAATACCTCCGGCGATCAGCCCTTTGAGACGACTGTCGTGAATGTCATTCTTGGAGAGAATATCCCTAACCTTCTCATAGGTTAAGATATAACCGATTCCTTAAATATCGCAATTAAATCATATAAATCTCAACTCAAAATGTCATTTCAAGCAATTTGTCTTAAATACCAGAAACCACTTGAACTGAATTGATCCAAAAGCCTATCAAAGAGAGCAATCATTTTAGAAATTCATTTTCCGGTTAAGTATTACTGAATTGCAAACCTTTGTAAAGACCAGAAAAGCCTTCGGTTTTGATGATACTTCTGAAGGCATCAAAAGTACCTTAAATTCAATGCAATTCACACTTAAAAAGAGTCAATATTTGGCACCAATTAGTCAATACCTCTGTAGAGCTGTCCGTGTCTTTGGACCTGTTGGACACAATGGTGTTAACGAGTAAGTGGTGATGTGGTGTACAGTACCTGAAGACGTGTTTTGATGACAGTCAGCGGATATAAGACACACCTCAGACCCAGAGAATTGATGGCCGAAAGGATGAAGAATCGCTTCTTATTCATCATTTCCCACTCAATGGTTAACATTCCCACTCTATTGGAGTCAATGCCATCCATTGTGACCACCGATCGATTCAAACGCTTCTTCAGTCAACGAAAAAGTCACTATAAATCCAATCAAACCTCTCAATAGACACTGAATTAGTGACTATTTTCCACTCATTTCACACAATCTATAGTATAAACAAATCCAATATCCATACAAATGTCAACATATCACAGATGAAAACATTTTGTATGCTTTCACACCATTTGCATCAAATGGACACTCAATTTGTGTCAATTAGCAGTGAATTGAGAGCACAATAATAGCCGATAAATACAAAGTGTGACTCAATTGGAGACTCAGATAAATGATTCAATAGATTGTCACCAGATTTGCTTGAATCAGGCAATAGTCACGTTGTCTTATGCAATACAATCACACATACAGTGCATATGTATTGCCAAACACACACAACCATTACGTGCAACCATTACTACATTATTATATTCACCATTTACGCCCCCATTGCCCCCAAATGCATTGTCCTAGTTCATATTTGGTTACTATTGTTTAATTCTTTTAGATTATTCTAAATTAGTAACACTTTCAAATTAATTAATTGAGATAATAGTACATTTCTTACAGTTAACCATTTTGTTTAGTGTTACTATGCTAGTACTCATGTTTCTTTATAAAGTTAAATAAATTATAAGTTTTCATTTCAAAATCTTTATTTTGTAATTGAAATAAACTCATAAAATGTATCATAGTTAACAACTTTAGTAAAATTTACTAAATAAATATTAAACTAATAAAACCATGTATTGATATTTACAGTAGTTAATAAATAGTTATAAATATTATAGAGTAAATAATTGAAAACTATCTGTACTATAAAGTTAGACTAAGTCTTATAAATGTGTAAAATATACTTTAGAAACTTTAAGAACTTGTTAAATCAATGGTAGACCATAAAAATAAACGACTATTATTTTATATAAATGTTATATCTAGTTGAAAAACTTTACATTTAGTGAGGTTTTTCAATATGTTCTGTATAAAAAAGTTTTGTTTATTCAATTTTTTATTTAATTATTAATTTATTTAATTTAAATATTTTCTGTTTATTTGAAAGTTTTCAAAAAATATTTAGTCAAAAGTAGAGATTTCGCTGTAATACAGTAGTGTCTCCCTAATAGTGTTATACGTTTACCGACTTGTAGTACAACTTTTCGACAATTTTCAGTCAACAACTCAATGCCAGTGCTCTGAAGTGGTGCTCCACTGCTATTACATCCAAACTCATTGATATAAATCTGAAGTTGAAAACAATTAAATACTATTCATTAAACTGATATAAATATGCGATAATTGAGAGTTATATCCGATTAAGTGAAACAAAATGAATATAATTATTAAAGAATTGGAATTATTAGTGATTTTTGTGATTATTGTGAGTGATGTGAGCGCACAGACGGAAACCAATGAGACGGGAATTCTGTCAGGTATTGTACACTACAATCATGATTATTATTTGCTGTCATATATTATCATTAATTTCTATTATAAATTTGCTAGTATAAAAATGTTTAAAAAATTTTATAAACTAGTACTCAAATATATTGGAGATATATTTGTTATGCAATTATTTTTCTTTTGTTTGTATTAAAACAAAAACTTTGTGAAAGTTTTCAGAAAATCTTAGACCGCTTGTCAGGTCGTTTACCTTTGGTTTTGAACTAACTTTCAGTGTTGACATTGAACTCATTGAACACCTGAGTGGAGTGCATAGCCTTATTGTACTGTAGAAATGATTGCTTAAACATAAATCTTGATTTCCTATTTGACTTTTCCAGTGGTCAGTCGGCCTTCTCTGTCCTTTGTTTCACTTTTTGCTAAATACAAAAAGCATTCACTTTTATGACCTGAGGATACATTTCTTAGAGGTTATTGAATGATAAACAAAGTCAATGACCTTGTGTTTAAAAATTTAAAACTTGACATTTATATTGATAATACATAAAAATCATTAATAATTATCGAATATTTGAATAAAGCTTCATTATTATTACAATATGTATAATAATAAAAGCTTTTTGGATTGTCGTCCCTATAATAAAAGCTTGATTTCATGCACTGATTTTTATATGCCATACAAAACAGCTCAACATAAAACATACAATACATAAGCTTAACATACAATATAAAGCTGAAAAACTTTTGTATTTTATAAAATTAGATTTGTGGAGCAGTTTGACATCAGTGGGCAAAGCGCCGGCCTGTCCGGGAGAGTGTGTCCACGCAATCACATCCATATTCTGTGATAATGTTCTCGAAGAAGTCACG